AGGTGGGCATCCCCTTATTTTTAAACTGGGACCCCTAGTTCTAGATTCTTCCAGAAGAGGAAGTATCCTTTCAACATCGACTTGATAAAGTTTCCTCAAGAAGTTATATGTTTCAATTAAGTTGCCTCTGATGCTTCTAAACTTCAGAGGTTACAGACTTAGCATGTCTGGCCTTTCCTCACAAGGCAATCTGCTCATTCCATGTGTTAGTCTAGCAAACCATCTCTGAACTGCTACCAACACATTAGCATCCTTCTGTAAGTATAGTGACCAATACTATACACAGTCTTCTAGATACGGTCTCCCCAAAGCCCTGTATACCTGAAGCATAACCTCACTAGTCTTGCATTCAATTGCCCTCTTAATAAACCATTGCATTCTATTAGCTTTCCAGATTATTTCCATTCTGCATGCTAACCTTCTGCAATTCATGCACTTGGACACCCAGATCTCTCTACATCTCAGAGCTCTCCAACCTCTCACCATGTTTTAGAGATTGCTTCTCATTACAAAGATAAAAGAGGACCAGTGGATTTGGCATATTTGGACTTTCAGAAGGTTTTTGATAAGGTCCCACACAGGAGGTGAACAAATGAAATTACAGTGCATAGGCTTGGTGGTAATATACTAGTATGGATTAAAAATTCATTAACAGATAGAAAGCAGTGAGTCAGAATAGATGTTTCATTCTCAGGATGGCAGCCTGTTTTAAGTGGGGTATTGCAAGGCAAAGTGCTCAGTTTACAACTGTTCACAATCCAGAGTACAAGTTTACAGAATTTAGAATACGGGAGCCCAACCTGAACTATGTTCAAACAGCTCAGTCTGGAGATAACAATGGCATGAATGATGGATGAAGAATTAGTTGAGACTGGGGAAATCCAAAATTTGATAAAATAGAATATAACACTGAACTATGGGAAATAACAGAAGCAAGTTAGTGAACAGTCGTCCTAAAGAGCTGGCCCAGACATGTTGAGTTGAATAGCCCCCTGTGCTGTATCATTCTACAATTTTCTGATGACATCATGGCACCATGAACTTGTAACTGTACCATAGGAGGAAGATTATTGACTGCAGTAATAATAGTACTGAACTGCTATAGCACTGTTGTAGTTCATTATCTGAATAAAGATCAGATTGTACATGCTGAGGGATGCTGTGATATGTAATTAGCATAATGAAATTCAAATTAACCCCTGTTTCCGAACAAGAAGAAATGATCTATTTTTCATGGACTGATAAGATCAGACAAGTGAGACCCCATGGCACATGGGTAGCATCTAGATTTCAGGAGAAGCTCCAGATTTAAGTGGCACCTGAGGGTGTGATGACTACAGAAGGTGCATCATGAGACAGTCAAACAGATTCATTATCAATTTGTAAATATCAGTTCCAGGTCAGTGCTAGGTCAACATCAGAGAAGAGATATTGATTACAATCACATTCTCTTTTTTGTATCCATAATAAGAATTATTACTTATATCTAAGAAAATAGGAAAGGATGTTTTGTAAATGCTGAAAAAAATATAAGCATGTTATTTACTCTGATAATAGGACTAGACTGCATGAATACACACCAACATATCTCAAGGAGGGTTTCAGATAAGGGTCGTTTTGTAAAGAGGAATGATCATGTTGATTCAATATTAAACAAAAAAAAATCAGTTATGTTAGATAGCATCTGTAAACTAAATAAACTAGTTGAATGTCTAGCTGTTTTTAGGACGCAGGCTTATTCTAATACTTTCAACTTTCTCATTAGATATTTTCTTGGTTCAGCATTACCTGCCACTGCTATAAGTAAACCTTGCATCTCTGACAATCTGGTTGCATTCTTTTCTGGTCAGATTCTGCCAAGATCATTGATATGAATCTGGAGATCAAATCACAGGAATCCTTATAATTTTTACACTGGCTCCTGGAATGGAAATCAAGGTTCTTTCAGATAACAAACTGAATAGATTGTGTATGCTCATGTAAAAAACAGATTTTTGAGATCAAATTTGGGACAAAATATACAGAGTTGACTTTTACACAAGAAATACTTTTCATGATTAATCCATGCCATGCCTTTGGAAGTGCTGCTAATAATATTGACACTGGTTGCTGGCCATGGTTCTGAATTCAGCAGTGACGGACTGCCCCAGATTACTTCCTCAGGTTTCTAACCTGTCTTTTAGGAGAAATTGTTAAAAAAAAAAGTCTGTTGTGATCCCAGTTGACTGGACTAGTCAGGTTCCAGACTTAAACCATAATGATAGCCCATTAATTTTATTTTTACAATTTGGTAGCCATGGTGGTCAGTCACTGAACATATTCATATATGGACCCAATGTAGACTCGTAGTCATGGAGTCATAGAGACGTACAGCATGGAAACAGACCCTTCAGTCAAACTTGTCTGTGCCACCAGATATTCTAAATATGTCTAGTCCCATTTGATAGCATTTGGCCCATATCTTTCTAAACTCTTCCTATTCATATACCTATCCAGATGCCTTTTAAATGTCATAATTGTACCATCCTCCATTGGCAGCTCATTCCATACACACACCACGCTCTATGTGAAAAAGTTGCCTTCAGGTCCCTTTTAAATCTTTCCCCTCTCAACTTAAACCTATGCCTTCTAGTTTTGGACACCGTCATCCCATGGGGAGTCCTAAACTATGGCTCTAGTCCTCCAACCCTGGCAACATCCTTGTAAATCTTTTCAGAACTGTTTCAAGTTTCACAACATCCTTCCTACAGCAAGGAGGCCAGAATTGCATGCAGTATTCCAAAAGTGGCCTCACCAATGTCCAGTACAGCCAACATGACCTCCCAACTCCTATACTCAATGCACTGACCAATAAAGGCAAGCGTACTAAACACCTTATTCACTATCCTGTTTACCTGCAACTCCACTTTCAAGGAACTATGGACACTCTTAAGAAAGGAACGTAAGTTTATTACCCAAAAGGAGAAAAAAAAACAAAATTTATGTAAGGCATATTTGTATGGGAAGATCTTATTGTAAGTAGCAAAAATGTCAACTCTTTTTCCAGCAATATCCTTTACATATATTCTACTCCAGTGATGTATCATTCCTATCTTCACTTTAAAATTTCTGACTCAACTGACAAGATCATAAACATAATCTTGTGTTTTACCAGATGTGATTTGCGCTATACAATCTTTCTCAGAGACACTTACATACAAATCAACTAACTGATTTTATGAATTAAACTCTAATAAAGAAAAAAAAAAGCCTTGACAACTTTGAGGCTGCTAAATAGCACATCTGCTGTCATGGGTATTTTCTTCTGAACTGAACAAGCTCTGACCTCCCTTTGTCATAAAGCCCAACTTGGTAATTATTCAGCAACTATCACACGAGATAAACTTTCCAGTCATTTAGCTTTGGTATTATGATTTCTTAGAAATGCTGTTTAGAGCGAGTGTTTAAAAAAAAGAGTTTCTGAGCCATTAAACTGAAAATCAAAAACCTACTTGGTTCTACGATAGAAATCAAGTTCCTAAATAATATATCATAAACCATCACCACAAGACTCTCTCGACTGTTGCCATAACCGTCTCTCCCAAAGCTAACGCATGACACTTGAAAAATGTACGAGTTTAGGACCAAAGGTCGGGAGTCAACTTATATATGAGATTGACTGTAACTTGAATACACTATGCTCTTGCCAAATTGAAATGCAGGCTTTGGACACATAACTGGATCAACAACTCACATAAAATACATTTTTAATTTTCTGTAACACATCATGAGTCTATAAAATAACAAAGGTTCAACACATTTTATTGATAATCAAAGATCTTAAAAATCAGATTTCTTGCCTTTAATGCATTCCCTCACTAGGTTGGAACTGCTTTTTAAAACATAAACAAATGCTCAGACTGTGGCCTGAACAGATTCACAGAATGATGGCCGACTGAAGATTGACTGTGGCTAATATAACTCTATAAGAGGAGAACTCTGACCTCTAGCTATCCATTACAGACAGCAGTTCAATCTTTATGCCTTGTCTCCTTTTCAAAAGGTTTACAAAACAGCGAGAAATCGAAGCTGATGCCCCACGTTGAAATGAGTATTTGACACAAGATCAGGTTGCTTGTCAACATGCTCTCCGAGTGTGGAATAAAACAACCAACAACTCTATTTCCCATCCTACATTAGAACAGGGATAATTTATCAGCACTGAAGAAAAGCAATCCTTGGCAGTGGCAAGGATGCATGTCATTAAATACAAAAACTCCAGCCAATTGCATTGTCACCTGCAATTTATTTTATTTTCAGACTTATCAACTTGCAGTCATGAAGAACCTAACAGGCAACTCATCTGGAACAGAACAGATGTTTTGTCTCATTGCGTGAGTTTCTGCTTTAACTCTTGCTTGCTGATTCCAGCAATTCACATTATAAATTAACACAAGGTAAAAAAAAAGCAGCACTTTTAACAAGTACAAAAAAGAGATTATTGAATATGATATGGAACACAATGTTTTTGAATTGAGATTTAAATTAAGATTTAAAATGTCATGTCTAGGAAACTAGTCAAGGAAGAATAGTGTAAATAAATCTCTGTGTCTGCTACATCCATATTTTACCTTACATGTTCAGTACAACTTTAATCAAATGGGGAACTACTGAGTTATTTTTTTTTCTTTTCTGGATGCCAAGTACTAATAACAACAAACCTATTTAAATCACCGATTACAACAGGGGAGGAGCTGTTTTGCCATTTAAATTATTCCTGGCTGTAACATTCACTGCTTCATATTAAAGAAAGTTTTGGTTCATTTGTAAATTAAGTCAAACAGATTTTTCTTTACAAGTAGGTTTTGAGAAATCTTACAAATGTAGAGATGGAGCTATTGAGGTCATAAAAATAATGATAGTACATGCTCAACACTTTAATTCTCGCTTCACATAATTTCTGGCTGTAACTTTCCTCCCAGTCCTACAATTCTGCCAGAATAGGAGGAAAGCGTTCTTACCAGCTTCACCCCAGACTGGCAAATAGTCATCCTGCTGAATGTCCAACATGATCTCAAGGCCGTTGCCAGTACCCCCCTGCACGGTAGTCAGTAGAGGCTTGTCATCACTTCCTGAGTTAAACATGTAGCACTTCCCATATCTGGTAAAAACCTGAGGGAAAAATGAAAGATAAAAATAAACAATTCAGACGAGTGAATGCAGTTAATTCTTCACTACTCGACACTTATATTGACCTCTTTTATTATTTTGCGCCCATATAGAATATATCATCAATTTATTTGCAACTGAATAAATGTTTTATTTATAGAATCACAGAATTGTTATGGTGCAAAAAGAGGCTGTTGAGCCCATCGTACCCTCTTTAAAAAAAATGAATTTTAGGGAGGGATTTCCAAAGTTTAGGATCTGAGATTAGAAGACATAGTCAATAGCTGGGTGAATTAGTTCAGTGTTGCAGAGTCCAATATTGGAATGTCAGAGTTTATCAGAGGGTTGTCAGGCTGAAGGACGTTAGAGAAAGATGAATGTAATAATTTGTACCTTCCTCAAAATTCTGTCCGCTGAACTTTTTTGTGTAAATGTCTGTTAAATTTGTAAATCATGCCAGACAAAGCCCATTTCTGCTAGTTACGTGCACTTCATAAATACTAAGATATTTCGCTCATTACTGCTGTTCACTTCAAAAATCCAAGTCTATTAGGTGACAATGTACTATGGTATACATTTTACATAAATGGTCTCTCCCTTCCAGAATTGCACAACATAAGCTTATGGAACAGTACCTCAGTTTGGATTACATTTTCCACGTTCAGTTCACTATCTATAGATCATTATGATCATGTCGTGTTTCCCAGATTTCTTGATAATTTGAGGTCTGCATTGAAATAACTAAATGTTGAGACTTTTTTCATTCCCAAAGACGAAAATTAAACAGACTGAGGAGCACTAGGCTCAGGCTTTTAAACTGTTTATGACTTATCTGTTTACAATGCCTTTGGGTAAATTAATATTCAGCTTTTTTAAAAGCGTTAGTACACAAAGTGCAGTGAACAGCTTGAAAGCATAGAACAGTACCCATGTACTGGGTGTTTAAATTTTTAGTAGAGCCTCTGATGGTACTTGGCTTTCACCAACAACAAAGATGATGCCAGTTAATTTAAAGATGACAACAAAGTTCGATAAATAGAGACTGTGCTAAACAGTTTACCTGTCGTATTGCTGAATTAAGTCTGACACCCTGTTACATGAACTGTTTAATCTTCCCTCATGAACAACTGCCACATGATTCTCTTAAAGCTCATTAAAACACATCAGATTTCTCAAATCAATTTTGCTACACACTTAACTTCCTCATTTCCAGATGCAAAACTGGGAGTAGTACAGGAGGAAAGGAAGAAAAACCTTTAATATTTGAGCTGATTTCAGACATTTGAATCAGAGCTAACATTTCTCTCCAGTACTGTTGGGTTTATAGCATTGTATAGTGCTTTTTTTAAAGCTACACATGTACTAAGGGCCTGATTTTGGAAACATTTCCTGTCTGGTTTTGGTAGGATTGGGATAAGGGCAAATTGGTGAGCAAAGTTCCTGCTGGAAGTAGGGGTGGCTTAACCAGGTTGCTCTGAAAGTATTAGAGGTAAGTTTGTTTCAAAGTGAACCCTCTTCCTGGACACACTGTCAGATTGACTGCACCCTCCCTCCACTACAATGATTTCCAATCCTTTTCTCATGTTATAGGATGGATACTGAAGGAATGTTTCCTTTTGTGTGGAAGACTGGAACAAGGGCACATATAGATTAAGAATAAGAAGACACACTTTTGAGTTGCAGATGAGAAGATTTTCCTCTCAGAGGGTGAAGGGTCATTAGTAGAGATTTCTCTTCTGCAGAAAGCAGTGGAAGCACAGTCATTAGTGCAACTGGATAACAGAAGTCAAAAGCTTTAACATTTACAAGTATCTTAATTTCACAAAAATTTGTAGAATGAAGAAGATTACTGTAAAGTAAATGCTATACTAACAATGTCTGTCATCTTGTTCATTGTAAATCATCACCTCTCTTCATATAAATTATTGTCAGACCATTCAGCCCAATGGGTCCATGTTGATGTTTATGCTCTCCATGTGTCGCCTTCTTTTTTGATTTAAGATATTTTCTAAAGAACCTGCTCCAAGTTGTTATTACACACTTCTGGAGCAGGAAGGACTTTAACGCAGGTCTCCTGGCTGAGAGGGAGGGACACAACCTCTGTGAAACATGAGTCCTCTCTTTTCAATTAACCCTATTATAGAAACATGGGAGCACAAGTAGGCTATTCTGCCCAGTGGGACTGTTCTATCAATGAATTAGGCCATTATTGATCACCTATCTTATTGCCATTTTCATGCATCATCCCCATATCTCTTGATGTCATTAATATTCAGAAATCTATCAATTTGTCTAGCACATGCTAAATGATTGAACTTCCACAGCTCTGTGGGGTAGAGAATTCCAAAGATTCATCACCATTTCAGTGAAGAAATTCCTTCTCATCCCAGTCCTGAATGACCTACATGTTATTCTGAGACTATGTTCCTTGATTCTAGAATCACAGGTCAGGGGAAATATTCCATGTATTTCGAGCCTCTCACACACTGCATAAGAGTTGCCTAAGTTTCAATGAGATATCTCCGGAAAAGACAGGTCCAGTCTCCTCAATCTCTCCTCAGGGATTTTGCTGGCGAATGTCATTGCGTTCTCTCTACAGCAAATACCTTGTTCTTTTGATAAGGAGACTTTTACAAATGCTCTATGTAGTAACAGCAAAGAACAAAGAACAAAGAAAATTACAGCACAGGAACAGGCCCTTCGGCCCTCCAAGTCTGCGCCAATCCAGATCCTCTATCAAAACTTGTCGCCTATTTTCAAGGCATCTTTACTTCTGTAATCAAGTACTCTTGTGAAGAAAGCCAAAATATCACTTGCTTTCCCAATTGCTCGATCCTCTTGCATGGTCACATGACACCCTCAGATCCAACATATCATCATTCGTTACGATGAACGATCATCAACCAGAAATGCTATTCTTTGATCCAGTATTTCTAGTTCTTATTTCAGATTTCAAGCATTTTCCTTTGATTCTGTATTTTCAGCGTTCACTTGTGTTTTGTGGTAGAGCAGCAGTTATGTTACTGGACGAGTGAGACTGAGATTAATAATTACTTGATGTGAATTCAAACCCCACAACAACTGGAAAATTTAATTTCAGTTACTTAAGTAAATCTAGAACAAGAAAATTCATATCAATAATAGTGATTGCAAAATCATTGGGATTTTAAAAAAAATCGATCTGTTTCATTGATATCCTTAACAGAAGGACATCTACAATCTAAGAGATAGTAAGAACTGCAGATGCTAGAGTCAGAGATAACACAGTGTAGACCTGGATGAACACAGCAGGCCAGGCAGCATCAGAGGAACAGGAAAGCTGACATTTCGGGTCGGGACGCTTCTTCAGAAATTCTTCGGCCCAACAAGTCCACACTGACTCTTGGAGCATCCCACCCAGACCCATCCCCCTATAACCCACCTAATCTACACATCCCTGAACACAATGGGCAACTTAGCATGGCCAATCCACCTAGCCTGCACATCTTTGGACTGTGGGAGGAGACCGGAGCACCCGGAGGAAAGCCATGCAGACACGGGGACAATATGCAAACTCCACACAGACAGTCACCCGAGGGTGAAATTGAACCTGGGTCCCTGGTGTTGTGAGGCAGCAATGCTAACCACTGAGCCACTGTGCCGCCCTTTTATCAATAAAATGGGTATTTATGCTTAAAATATTTCTGTGGAGTTTTCAACGATCTTTTGTCAAAGGTTAAAGGAGTGTTGGAAAAACCCCTGAATAATTTAATCCTTCACTTTGTACAACATAGTTTAGCAAATAATAATAATCTCTTCATTTCTCCTTATACTAGATACCGTCCCTCATCCAAAATATTTGGTCTGAACCAATGACCAATGGATTATTTATTAACTGGTCATTAAGGCCAATGTTCTTCAAAATATTAGAAAAGAAATTCATTACAAGTAATATTGATGGAAAATATTAATGTTGAGTGAAAAGTTGATTATTGAATATTAGCAAAAGACTAGAAATTAACTAACTATTTACCTGTTAATGGCTTTAATAAGTAAATCATATAGTTTTTCTCAGCTGCTCAGAGTAATTATGTTATTGCTGGTCATACTTGGCCTGTTTGGGCTTGACAAATAAGACATGTTTGAAATATCACCACAGAAGTAGCGTAAAATTGAATAATGTAGAGGCAATTCACTTTGACTCCTTCCCTGATCATCTCATCTCATCAGGTTCTAAGAATTGCACAGAAAGAAATTAAACAATTTATTATTGGTTTATGATTTCGACAGTATTAAATGAAACAAACAACTATGCTGTCTACAGATGAAAAATTGCATTGCATAATGAGCAGCAGCCCACAAGTAAGTGTGCATTTCTTGAACAATATTGAAAAGTCTTTCCACATCTTACCAAATCAAGATAGGATTCTCTTCAGGAATTTGACAGGGCGTGTGAATGCATTAGTTAAGGTTGTTAAAACAAACTTTTTTTTTTACACTATATTATTGAGAAAAGAAATAATAAGATAACATGAAAAGATGACCTAGACACGTTTTTGAAACAAAGAGAATCAGATACTAGGTGAGAATATCATCACAGGAAAACTGCGTGGAGCAGAGCCTGGAGTTATTGATTACAAAGAGAATACACATATAATAATACTTAAAAGTTAGCATTCCTGAGGAAAGGGTGGTGCAGCTTTAATGTTACTTTGTCAGAAATTCAGAGTCCCAGGCTAATCCTCTGAGAATACAGGTTCAGATCTCACCACAGCAACTGGTAGAATTTTAAATTCCAATCAGTTAATAAATCTGGAATAGCCTCAGTAGCTCTGATCATAAGACATTTATGGATTGTTGCATAAGCCTGTTCATTAATTTATTTTTAGGGAGGGTAATGTGCCATCTTTATGTGCTCTGGTCTATTGTTTTCTTTTAAATTTAATCTTTTTTTTTAATCAACCTGTTCAGAGATGACATTACACACTTCTGTAGCAGGTGGGATTTGAATTTGGACCTCTTGG